TCTCTCTCTCTCTCTCTCTCTCTCTCTCTCTCTCTCTCTCTCTCTCTCTCTCTCTCCCTCCGGGGCTCTCTCCCAAGTTCTAGTCTTCTCCTCCCTCCTCATTTAGTCGCTTGTATTCTGCTGCAGGTGTTTCCCTTGCTCTCTCTCTCTCTCTCTCTCTCTCTCTCTCTCTCTCTCTCTCTCTCTCTCTCTCTCTCTCCCGTCGAGGCTTCTCCGTCTCTACTCGGTGGACACAAGTCCCATTCTCCACTTCCATCAAGTGCGCAGCTGTCCTTTGCAACCGCCTAGCAAGGATGGGGCGAGTTGTGCTGTTTCTCCCTCGGAGTCCGCCTTCGGGAGGGAGGAGGGGAGCGGCATTTGTGCTACTAGGACGCCTCTGCGTCGCTGTCTTTTGCTTGTACGTACTCGCAGAAGCGTGCACCGCTCAGGTATTGTCGGTGTCGTCCCCGACGTCCTCAGAGTCGCCCCCCGGCGCGGGAGAGGATGGACTCAACGGTGTCTGGGACGGGGATGAGTTCTATTGCTTCCGCGGGTTCAGGAAGTGCAAGACGGGCAGCACGCAATGCATCAAGGTGGAGCAGGAATGCGACGGCGTGCAGGACTGCGATGATGGGTCGGATGAGGGGTCTCACTGCGAATCGTTCGACTGCGAATGGACCAATCGCTACATGTGTCCGAGCAGGAAGATGTGCATGAACCTCCCGATGCAATACGCCTACCGACGGTATGCCCACAACGATCCGTACACTGCTTACTTGTGCGACGGCGTGAAGGACTGTACGGACGGGTCGGACGAAGACGAGAGCTTCTGCGCTTCGTACGACTGCATCCGCGATGTGCCGCACAAGCTCCTGCGCGACCCGATGCACGACTTCGAAAAGCCGACGAGCCGCAGACTGCGATGCCCCGGTGGAAAGGGTGGGTGTGTGTACGAGTTTCATCTGTGCGACGCCAATGTCGACTGCGTGACTGACGGGGGCAGCGACGAGAGCGACGAGTTTTGCAAGAAGCACGGGTGTTCTTCCGATCCCTTGGTTACTCTGTTTCAATGCCGGCGTGGCAAGTGCATCCACGGCGAGCGGATGTGCGACGGCAGGGTGGATTGCCCCGACGGCGACGACGAGGGCGAGTTCTGTGAGACGATCAGCTGTCCATTCGGCCGCGTCAAGTGCGAAGGTGGAGACAACCGGACGTGCGTCGAAGAGAGTCGAGTGTGCGACGGAGTGAAAGATTGTCCGGGAGGAACGGACGAGGACGAGTGTGCGACGAAGCCGTGCAAGTGGGGGACAAAGTGTCCGAGTGGAACGCAGTGCGCCTCTTTCATTCTGTGCGACGGTGTCAAAGAGTGCAACGATGGATCTGACGAGGATCCCGCGCTTTGTCGCCGCTTCAACTGCACAGGTGATCGAGTCGTCAAGTGCAAGGACGGCCTGCAGTGTATCTATCCTGCACAAGTCTGCGATGGGCGACCAGACTGCGCCGACTTGTCGGACGAGAATCCCGCCGACTGCCGCAGGCAAAACTGCACCGAGAGTTACGTTCGCTGTCCTGGCGAGAAGTCCGTCTGGTGCATCTATAGCAGCTATCTGTGCGCTGGGTATTTTGACGCGGAATGCTACCTCGACGCGCAAGACGACCCGACGTTCTGTCGCTCGAAGAGGGCACTCGACATTCTGGCACAACAGGACAAAATCATGTGCAGCAACAGCTCCAAGTCCGTTTCCGGACATTACTGTGACGCCATTGAGGACTGTGCGGACGGGAGTGATGAAAGCGACGAGTTTTGCAAACGGTACGAGTGTCCGAAGGATCGAGTCAAGTGTTACGGCAAGTGGTGCGTGATTGGAGGGCTCTGTGACGGCAACTGGGATTGCCCCGATGGGTCGGACGAAAAGAACTGCTAGCTCAAGAATCAAGATCGAAGGCACGAGGCCGCTTACAGAGCGCCGGGACTCGCATCCCTCCCGACTCCCGAGCAATGCGGAAGGCGCGACTGCGAAAGCATTCAACGATACAAACGCTCGGATGTTGTACGACGGAGGGGTGTGTCCTCTTCCAACTTCATATCGCGTAGCGATTGTGGTCATCTTGTGAACTTCTGGAGAGCGCAGGCACAGACACTGGCACAGGGACGTGCGAGCACTGTCACACGTACAGACACAGACACACACACACACACACACACACACACACACACACACACACACACACACACACACACACTGGCTTAAGTTCCCCGGAAACGGGTGTCGGCAGTTGGTTTGTGCTCGAGCATGTTCAGCGCCCACTTGCACACTGTGTCATTCATTAGTTTGGACACACACAGGGGGTGCTAGGGTCTCGCTCCACTACTCTGAGTACTCTCTACTCTCAAAAGTTTCGAGAGTGGGTCTCCCTGCACTACTCTCCACTCTCGGAAATCGGAGAGTTTTTCACCGCTGCACTAACTATCTGAAAAAGACCTGGAAACGAACTCGGATAGCGCCGTCAGAAACCACCTTCCAACTTCCAAGTGCACTATCGGACTATCCCGAAATCGGAGAGTGCCCAGCCTGTAACCTCTTTTTTGGGGATGGACCTCAGCACCACTCTCCAAGATACTCCGAACTCGGGGAGTGTGCCTGGAGTCTAGGCAGACAAATGGAGATCACGCCCTCAAGGGTTGTCACCATGGGGCTCGCTGCACTACTCTAGATTCTAGCTCTTTCTTGAGTGCGGCATGGCTGCACTTACTAACCTGTTCTAGAGCTGTCAGAACGACTCTAGAAAAGTAAAAGAGTCGAAAACCTATTCTAGAGCTGTCAGAATGACTCTAGAAAAGTAATAGAGTATTCATGGCTCCACTTACTCGATAAGTTCACTCTAGATTTCTCATTTCTTGAGCGGGTCGGTCCTCACTCTAGATTGATCTAGAGCACCTGCCTGCAAAGGCGTTTTTTTTAAGGGAGGTCCGGAGGACCCTTGAAATGCCTTAGTTTTCCTTGAGTGGGCCTTGAGTCAGGATGGCGCTGTCCTGTAGTGAAATGGCTGAACTCAGAAAAGTGACGGAGCAACTCTAGCTTTTCTAGAGTCGACAACTAGTGTGCCTATGTTTAGATTTTGGGCCTGGCTGCACTACTCTCGAAATGTGCAAAACGAGAGTGAATCTTCCGCTAGAATATGGAAAGATACACGGCCATGATTTTTGTCTTTTGTGCATGTCAAGAGTAGTGCAGCGAGGCCCTTTAGGACTCTTTGTGACTCTGACAACTCTAGAATGACTCTAGAAATTATTCACAGGTCTAGAGTAGTGCAGCGAGCCCCTATGAGTCCCCCGTGGGCATGACCGCCGGGTGAAACTCGGCGTGCGGTCCGGATCGGGATCCCGACCACAGGCCATGGCCCCGGTGGTTGGGCGCAGCCGAGAAATTGTCATATTCAAAAAAGAGAAAACTACCGCGCAGTCAGGGTTACAGTTTGTAATTGCATTTGAAACTTCGTTTTAGCAGTTTAGTCAGGGCCCGAGTTTCAATTGCAGTTGAAACTGCTTTTTAGCAGTTTGAAACTGGGGCTGGCTTTTTCT